GTGGTGGTTGGGTATAAAAACATAAGCAGAGCAGCCTGTTACCTCTGCGTAAATGAAGAATGAGATATGAGAATGAGATATGAGAATGAGATATGAGAAGGAGATATGAGATTGAGATATGAGAATGAGATATGAGAAGGAGATATGAGAATGAGATATGAGATTGAGATATGTTAAACCGCCATCCTGTACTTTGTGTTCAGATCATGAAGCTGTAATATGTAGCGTTGTTTAGAATATAACATTTATCACTATTGTATGAGTCAGGTGTGATAAGAATATGAGGAGCAATCAAACAGATTGGTCACATGATACTGTACAGTGAATAGGGCACGTGATACAGTGAATAGGACACGTGATACAGTGAATAGGGTGCGTGATACAGTGAATAGGACACGTGATACANTGAATAGGGTGCGTGATACAGTGAATAGGACACGTGATACAGTGAATAGGGTGCGTGATACAGTGAATAGGTCGCGTGATACAGTGAATAGGGCGCGTGATACAGTGAATAGGACGCCTGATACAGTGCTGTCACCAGCCTAGTGCTGCAGCAAAAATCCTACAGAGGATCCTACCAGGAGTTTAAACTCTCGGTCTTCATGTTATGAGAGATATGCTTCTTCATTCCCATCACCTCTTAGGAGGAGTCACCATGAAAGATAACTCCTTATCAGTCCAGAGACCCCATGCCCTGTCTTTCCTGAGACCGCGATGGCCTAGGCTTTGTGTCATTGTTCCCTCCTGCTCATGTCCTGTCTTTCCTGAGATACAGTATATATTTCGTACTCATGGTAACCCTGCACTGGATAAGTGGTTCTGTGTGATAGGTGGGTGTATGAGTTGTCCTCCATGGGTAATCACATTTTCCAGTTTACTCTCCCCAGTGCCTCCATGATCTCTCCACTAACAGGTCCCCAGCTGCATTTAAAGTGTACAGATGGGAATGTGGGATCACAGTGAACGACAGCGACACAGAAAGTCAATTTGGATCCGTGTTTTATGGCAGCCAGACGGTTTTTCCCCGATGCGAAAAGAATGCCAGAATGGTAACGATACTGTTGCCCTGACGGGCCCCCGTCTCAGCAAACGGCCCCGATCCTGATGAATGGCTCTCTTTGTGTCCACCGTTTGCCAGTCATGCCGCTGCCCCAGACGGTCGCATGGAGCCCACAACCACGGCGCTAATGTGCTCGTTAAGAGCAGCGGCGATTGTTTATTGGAGTTGGGTCAAGCTGGGAAATTATCAGGGAAATTAACATCCAGCCCGAATCAAATGGTAATTTGCAACCTTTTCCATCTCGAGATCCAAAATATACACCGGGAAGCAATGAATGGTTAGATCTCACCTCATATATTCGGCGTAAAAAAAAATGTGCCTTTGGCTGGATCGAAGTCAGTCTCCCACGTGTTCGGCGAAATGTCACTCTGCCACATTTTTCATTAAATATGCTTCACCGCAGTCATTTAATTTGTAGAGTGATCCCCAGCTTCCAGTGTTTGGACAGAGATTGCAAGACTTATCACGGTGTCTGGCTGTATATGTAGTCTCGCGTTAAATTGAAAGAGAGAGGTGGTGTGGAACATTTGCATCTTGACTACCGTCTGGGGAGAGTGTCAACTGATTGCAGTCACAAAACAATACAGAGACTTAATATTTTTACGCATATAAAATAATGTTACATGATGGCTTCGCATCGAATGATTAAGAAACTCCGGGTGCGACAGCTGCACCAGCTCTTTCTCCTTCAGAGGCTGCCTGTCAGGAAATCCTTCAAGAAATGGTATAAAAGAAGATTACAGAGAAACGTGTCATTTATAAGTCGCAAATCACCAACTCGCGCATAATTTTAAAAGCACAAAGGCATTTAACGCAGACAAAGTGCCTCGGTTTTCTTTTCGCTACAATAGACCGAGGAAATTGGTGGGACAGCTGGTCTGACCAGTTAGCGAGATGGCTCAGGTGACAGGATAAAACACAGAAGTGTGACTTCCTCATGGAAGATGGCGGCCCGCTGTAGAAACCAGCACAGATGGTCAAACGGAAATTGCAGCAATTATTAATCTTTTCTTTTTTCTTTGAAATGCTTGTGTTGGTAAATAAATTGAGCTAATTTAGACAGACAGACAGACACCAATTAGGGAAAGGGATTAGTTGTCCTTGTTGACACAGCGTAGCCTGGGGAGCAGTGCTTGGGGGCAGTACCTTGCTAAGGGTACCTCACTGGTACTTTGCTGGTCACGGAGTCAAACCAGCAAACTTTCAATCACAAGTGCACCTCCCTAACCATTAAGCCACCACTGCAATTTGGGAAGTAAAATTTGTGCTATTTACAAGCAATTTATATTATAGCACTTTGTAGAGATAAAACTAATTCAACATTTTAAAAAGTGATGGGTTGAATTTGTATTTTGGTGCCTATGATCCAAACTTTGTAAACATTGAATATAATATTGAATATATTATTGTAGGTTATTAAACTTTACATGAAGCCAATTTATTATAGCAGTTCTGAGATTTTGTGGATGCACATTTGTGTTTGCATGTCTTCTGACTATAACTCAACAGGCTGTTGTCACATCCAGCCCAGCATTTAGTTAACTATAGTTACTGGTCACTAGTCTCTAAAGCTCATTTCCCACAGCCACCGCTAGATAATCTAAATCTCTAATTACCTGTATTCAGTGTATGTAAATTCACTCTGACCAACATCTCCATGCTTTATGTCTCCACATTTGCTTTATCTTCCCCTGGTTTGGGTTTCGGATCTCACTGGTTTGGTTCTCCATATCTCTTTCCCGTCTCTTGATTCTGCCCTTTTTCTCATGCTCTGTGTTCTAGTTGTGCTCTGTAACAATCCATCGCCTGACCTTGCTTAGTACTGTGTCCTTGTCCTTTTTTCTTCCCACCTGATCCGTTCTTCCTCGGAGCTGGAGTTCTGTTCAGCCGCACCTGGGCATAGACGTCAGACGCCCAAGTCCTGTCAGCACGCTGGGGCTCGCCTGCTGAGGAGGAAGCGACCAGAAGCTGGAGAACCTGGCCCTGCAGGGGTGCCCTTTGTGCCCCCCCACCTTGTTAAAGAAAACTGAACTGACAACAGCCTTAATCACTTTCATTATTTGTAAATGAACATCTTTGTGAATTAGAATACATTTCTTGATACACAATAGGCAATTTAGAGATGCCAGTAAGCCTGACCCCATGTCTCAAGACTACAGGAGGAAAACCACATGACACGGCAAGAATGTATAAGCTCTACACACAGAGAACAGGGACAGAACCACTGTGCCCAGTGGCCACAGTGCTACCCACTGAGCCAGCATGCCATTGTCTTCCCTGATATTTTATTCAGTTTATTTCTAGTGGTTCACTAATCCGCGTTATTCTTGCACGAGTTGACACAGTCCGATACAGTGAACGATCGGATATTAGACTTCAAAAGACATCAGATCTCGGTTTATTTAGCTGCATTGTAAATGGACAGAGGTCATTTGGTATGTATTCATATTCGCACTGTTCCAGTGCCCCATACTGCTTTTTGCCATGCATACAGCTCACTGCGTTTGTTCTGCTGAAGCAAAGATCAAAAGTCTCGCTCAAGGTTGCAACAGCAAGCGTCTCGTTGGAGCCCAGCTTTGGGTTAGTAAGGCTGCAGTACTTAAGAGTGGCACCATCATCCTTTCATTTGCTCCTAAGTAGCATAGTTCCTCAACTGTCTCCTAGAAGGTTTTTGATGACTATAGGCTTTATTTGACAATGATACATCAAGTGAGTGCTTGCAGAGACAGTTTCCGAATGTGAGCAGACCTTGGCAGCTGTGCGATTTAAGTCCTCGCCTCAAAAGAGATTGGATTCTGAACCCGGGGAACCGCTTGGCCACACTACCCACTGGCACGGTGCAGAAATCGACTTCCCCCCGCTCGATTTGGTCAGAGCGGAAAATGTCTGGGGGCTGCCATGTTTTATAAGGTGCTATGAAAAGGGGAGCGACGAGGAGGCAATTGCTGATTCCTCTCTGCCAAGTTGTGGGGGCGAACAGCATTAACCTCAAGCAGTAGTATTGCAGTTCAGGGGTTCAGGGAGCGTGATTCTACAGCTTGTCTCTATCATGGTGTCTAGCCTACAATGGCAGGGCACTCACCTATACTTTAATAGCATTAGCATCTTATTGTAAAGACTCCCATGGTTTCGTAGTAAAAAATTAAAAAATGAATCATCGGAGGAATAATATGAATTTAAAAATCCAGTAACAATACACATTCATTCAACTATATAGTAATTGTTGTAGAACTATTGCACTCTGAAGCAGGTTTTCTGCTGAGTTCGATACGGCAAGGTTAATTTAGTGTAAACAGCTCATGTTATTTACTTATTTACATTGTAGATCTGAATCAAGAGCACCTTGCGGTTGTTTGCTATTCATGCACTTTTTTGCACCCACTACATAAAAATTCATATATTTAGTTGTGTATTTAAAGATACAGGTGCCAGCTCTGAACAACAATCTACAGTTAGTCAGACATGCCCTTCATCTGAAATAATATACAAACAAAGCATTATACTCTTCTCATAATATGTACTACACAAAATTTGAAGGTACAATGTTTACGTAAGAACAATATGTTCTGCTGCCATAGTGCTCAATAGACCTCTAATTCCCCTTCTCTTCACTCTGAAGTCATTGTTTTCAGTGTCTTTGTAAACTCAGCACAGGTCCTCCTCAAATAAAGGTATCATGGTAAATGTGAAAGCATGCACTCAAAATAAGTGTGGACCACAGCAGGGAGCCAGATCACTCGCAGATTTCAGTATTTTGCACTTTTGTTTTATGTATTTTTATGTTTTGCTTTAGTATAGGCTTCAGAATTAGCATGTGGCATGGTTATGAAATAAGGATCTAGTATTCAATATAGTGCGTAATTATTAACAAACCAGGCTGATGAAATCAGTTCTAAAGCTTCACTCCTTTATGTTTTATGATTTCTTTTTCTCTCAGCCTTGTTGCTGCACCACAACAAAGAAGGCATCTGGAAAGAGAGGCACTTCTGATCCAAGTAAGTACTTTATTATTTTGCTCACTATGTAATCCATCCATCCATCTTCGGATGGCTTGCCCTGCTCAGGGTCCCGCTGGGCCTGCAGCCTGTCTGAGGCAGCACAGGGCCCAAGGCTGGGGTGCAATGTGAGCAGCGTGACTCACTGTGTAACATTGTGTAGTGATGCTGAAGAACACTGGAGGCCGGCAGGTTTTGGTATTGGTTTTGTATGCAAAAAATATCAGAGACACATAGAGTTTAAAGAAGCACTAACACAGAAAGACAACAAATGCCCGTAAGTAAGTTTGCACACTTTCTTTTAATTTGTTTAGTGTGTGGTATGTGAAGGTTAATCCGGCTTGCGTAAAACTGGGTTAACATAAGGGTTTGTGGAACGGATTACTGAGGTGAGCTGCCAGGACATGAAGACTTTTATTCTGGAAAAGCTTCAGTGACATTTGCGTATGATGACTACCCAACGCCAGGTAATCTCTGACACTTTGTATTTCTTCTCTGTGTGTATCTGTTACCCTTTTGAGTAAACTTTGGTGACATGCCAGTGCATGATTTTAAAGGCATAAGGTGGCCGTTTTCTGCCAGCGCCACAAGGTTAATTGGGGTCTTTAGAGTCTTCCAGATTCTGCTTTTTGGAAGAGGTAATTAAGATTTGAGCTGCGGTTTTCATCTGTGTTAACGGTCGCAGCCGGAGTAAATTAACTGGCTTGATAAATGAACTGTACGAATCCTACCACCATTGTCACGATGCTGCCGTCTCATGGCCAGTGAAGGAACGACTGACCACTGGAACTCTTGCACATTACAAGAACATTGTAATTCACTGGAAACCGAGAAGTGACTGCAGAAATAGTGCAGTGTAATAATCTCTGATGGCAGTCAGTGAACTTGGCACCTCCTTTTATATACCGCGGTAAGAGCAGTGCTGTAACTGAGAACATTAAACACCCCACGTTATAGGAAAGGTCAGCTTTCCATAGCCATGGCTGGAAACATCCCTAGGACATAGAAATTTTTCTCTAGGTCCAAAGCAACCCTCTATCCTCCATTCTCCATACCTGCTTGTACTATGCAGGGTTGTAGGGGTTTGGAGCCTATCCCAGAGGCCATGGATGTAAGGTAGAGAATGGGGCAGGGTGGACTGCATACCCATGTACCCCATTCACATCTATGGACAATATAGCAACTGAGCTCAGCTTAGCATGTTTTTGGACGTGGTGGGGAAATCTGCAAGAAATGCCACAATTACAGCAGGAGACCGTGCAAACTCCACATGCACAGAGCTGGGACAGAGATCTGAACTCTGGTCTCTAGAAGTGTGAAGCAAGACCTTCAACTCCCTTCTAATTTATGAAACTAAAGACGTGTCGTTCTCTTCATCATATTGCCTTTGGTGTGCTGACAATTGACATCTTTTGTAGTAAAATACACCTTTTGTCCTTCTCTGCCTTTGTTTTCTGATGGTACTAGTAATGTTACTCCACATTTACTCATCTGTAGTTGCCCTTGAAGCCTCAGCAAAGGAAAGACTATGGCTGTCATACATATATAAATATTAATTTATGCATATTTTTGGTTTCTTTATTATCATAGACAAAACCACGGTGCTGGTTTAAGCTTACCGTCCTGCTAAATGCCTAGCTCGGTAATAGTGCACCTTACGAACGCCAGAATACCGCTGCTGCTCTATAGCTGATTTTAGCGGCGCCCGTCTGGTCGCCATTTTTGTTTTGTTAGGAAGCAGAAGCTTGAGTGTGGGACCCATCTGCACGCTACCCGGCCCGAGCTGGCCGCTCTGGACTGATTGCTCATTACGCAGCCTCTAATCAGATATTTTACATGCCGTTAAGTGTCATCTCGGCCGCATTAGGCATGGCGAGCCTGCGTTCTGCTTATTCCCCCACCTCGGGGACCGCAGCAGACTGCAGAGCGCATGGCTGCACAGACAAATTGCTGTGCGACAATACAGGCCCCCCCCCACCCCCGCCCAGCCGTCATCTGGTCAAGGCTCAAGTGACAGACCCCCGGGTGATCGATGAGGGGCATCTGACCATGGGCATTCACTGTTGGCGTCACTCAGCCGCAGCGAGCGAATTGCATGTTTTTGTTGCAAGGTCTTGGCAGCGTCTGTGAGGGGACATTTACACGCCCTCAACAAACAACCCCCCCCCCCCACCACTACCACCTCTTGGCCGGCTGTTGTTGAGATAAAGGACCTTTAAATGGGACTCAAGCAGTGCAGAACATCTTTTTTTTTTCCAGAGTGCAAATTAGCCTAACGTCTCGGGCCGGGGTAGTGCAGCCAGACGACAGTGAGGCTGATATATTACAGACAACACAGCATATTTTCCCCGTTTTGTATCTTGCTGACGAGACTAATTAAATCTGAACCTTTATCTTTCATTCGTGCCAAATGCGGCAACAATGAATATTTATGAGATCTGTGCAAATGACCCGAGGCCCTCCCTGAACACATCTCACAGAGCCGTTCACCGCGTTTTTTTGGGGGAACTCCCAAACTGCAGCGACCCCCAAAGAACTGCAGCCCGGTTTGTTTTTGATCAGAAACCATTTTGATCTCAGTTCCAAGCCCATTGTCTCCTGTGCAGTTTCTCTTTTTTTTAAACTGAGGACCCAACTTTTTTCGAATGGATTTGGAATATGGGTTCTTTGAAGAACAGCTTTCCCTCTAACCGGTGTCCTCCATTTTTGATCTGACGACGTGGTGACGCTTTGAAGAAAGTTTAAGCTCTCAGGCAGGAATGAGTGAAAGCAGACTTTGAAATACCGAAATAGCCAAAGGTGATCAGGGAATTGCAGAGTCGGGTTGATCGCATACAAATCATTTTCCCACTGAGCGGACAAAAAAGCTGAAATGGCCAACATAACTTCAGTACCGCACGCAATACTGGTAGAACTTTCCAAATGTCATGGATATTAAAAAAAAAATGTTTGAAGATCTTGACCAAAGGAAAGTATTGATTTGTCCGGTTCATTAATTTCTTGAGCAAAACCTTCAGTGTTCTAACGGCGAATCACAGTTTTTTTTTTTGGGGGGGGGGGTTCCTCACAGAGTGTCAGCCAATTACGTTGGGTGTTTTAAACACACCAGCAAGCAGACAGCCTGGGTCTCATTAGAGAATCCCCAGGAGAGAGTGCGCGTATCTTCCCTGGGGGATGCTGTTATAAACGAAGGCTGTCAGCCATGATATGGTATATAGGTCTACTAGGTAGATCTGTTGATGTCCCAATTTAGGACCTCTGACCTCAGTCTCAGACCTGGTTATTAGGGGGAAGGTTATTATTCGGTTTTTTTTTTTGGTTAATATAAACTGGATCTTGTCAGGATGTTTATAAATGTGTTAAATATAAATACAAATAAACCAAAGCTAAACTAAAATTAATGCTGTTAAATCCGCATTAAGCTGAATAAAATAACTATTAACTCACTTTGCACATTACATTCTTATATGATCTATCTATTTAACTAACTATTGTAGCAGTATTTCAATATAGAAGACATTTACAATGCAGAAGATAAGCGTGTTTATGTCACTGTAAAGTCTCCACAGCAAAAACTTAACAGCCTTCTGGTACCTTTTTAATATGGTTATTACAAAGCGAAATTGAATGAACTATTTAATTTTATAGCTTTTATCTCTTACGCCGTAGAATGATTTTATGTTGTAACTTTCCCATTCTGTTCCGCTGCTTTTCTATTAGCTTTTGTTGAAGTGCCGTTCAGATACGAGCAATGCTTCCTGAATGAATCCAGAGAGGGAGCTGCACAGGGTTTGGGGATGGTCAACCACCAGCGGTCATGCTTTATGTGTATCCTGCCAGTCACACTCAGAATACTTGTTTGTAACATTTCTCAGCCCGATTGATTAGTGGTTGGAGGTTGTGGCTTCACCCCATTGAGGTTTATCGATTCCCCCACTTAAGAGCACTTGGCCCAGTGACCACAAGCCCATAGTTCAAGGCCCTTATCGAGAGACTGGCTTAAGAAGTATACAGGCTACCGGAACAGGGCTAGCAGGTGACTTAACGTTTCCAAGCTAATCAGCGAAACAACTGCAATATGATGGTGAGATGCTACAGTGAGTTAGCTTGCTAATGCTACTTTTATTTTGTAGCGTATTGTACTACTGCTGATTAAGAAGCACTCTGGCTTATGTTACCATTGATTTGTTATAAGAATCGAGGAGCCAGCGGCCGATTGGGCAGATCGCCCACATCCGATGCTGGAAATGCCTTTCTGTAACATCAACAAGTAAGAAAACATGCATAGCAAGCAATAGCAAATTAAGGGCATACTTATAAATCATATTGATTTTAATGTGAATGCACAGAAATAGGCTCTTCTGTCTTGCTCTCTTATTCTCATAGGAGAGCAAGACAGGAAAATCAAATAATACCTATGTACCTGTACAAATGGAAAATAAAGTATTATAAATGAAAATGCATAAAATATAATATGAATGCATATCTATATATATATGTTAAAATATGTAGATATAAAGAATCACCGTCTACAAACATATTCAGATGTGAAATACACTCACATAGCTGTATAGACTTTTCATATGTGCTTTAAGAGGCTTTCAAGCTTATTGCTATATAAAGTGAATATTAAAAATACACCCAACTGAATTATGTAAAGGCTGAAATCAACAGAAATGTTTTCAGGCCTTTGTTTCACCTTTAAGAACAATAAGTTAAAAACAAATAGATCATTTTAGGTAGAAATGGCTTAAATTAAATTGTACAGCATGGTATATATTTTTCCTGCACAGGCTTAAGTGCAGTGTAGTTCTGAGCACCGATTCATTGATTTAAGATTAATTTTTAGACAAATCCCTTGTCATTGACTGGCTTGTACATGCAGCAGATGAAAATAAAATCCCGCCTTCTGGTTTTGTGATAGTGTTACTCACCCTCTGAGCTGCCTACTCTGTACCCTGCAGAGCGTAGCTCTGGGAGTAACAGTTTTCCTGCGTTTC